AAGGAGCTGAGGATAGAGAGAATGAAGAGGGAGTGGTGGGAGAGATTGGTACCAAGTGGAGAAGATTACCGCAAAGTCCAACACATACCCAATGTGCAGTTTATCAACTGTGAGGGTCAATAAGTAGAATAAACAGTGGCACATAATGACATAAATATAAATCTTAACAATGTTTTTTTTATCATGTTCATGACTCTCCTCCTGAGCAGCTGATGATTCAAGAGGGTACTTTTTTTTTTTTAACACATATCCAAGAGAGTACTAGTCACCCGTTTCCACTCTGTAATCGACACATGTTTTTTTGTTGTAGGAAAAATTTAAAGATCCATACAAATTCGACTAGTGACTTCTAACTAGCTGAACGGAATTTCTGGTTTTTGGTTCGGTTACAGTTTTTTGAGTTCTGTTTAATTTGGTGGGATTGTGAAAATAATCTGGTTATCGGTTTGGTTCAGTTATCAGTTTCTCTTTTAGAAAAATAAATAATAAAATAACTAAAAATAACAAAAATAATTGAAATTAACCGAAAATAATCAATCCGAACTAAGCAAACTAACTAAAATAACTAAGTTTAACTGAGATAGTCGAATTTAACCAAAAATATCCTATTTTTAGAAAAACTAAAGTGAAATCTAGTCGAAACCCAAAATTTAGTTATTTTCGGATAAAATTTTTTGAAAACCGAAATTAACCGAAGTCGAACTGATTTGTCAGTGTAATTTGGTGTAATTGTTATCCAACCAAATTAACCGATAATACTCGATCCGTATAAACCGAATAGTATAAATCCGTATAAACCGAATAAACCGAAAAGTTTCTATCCGTATCCGAAACCGCATAGATACTTCTAACCGTTTAGTATTGGTCTAAGATGTCTGGGTAAACCAAACCCAATTGATACAATCATGAATCAACCATGTTTATATTTTCTTTGTTTTTGCTAAAAATATTCTTTTTATAACTATTTTTTTTCTTTTATTTGTATTATTTTTCTCTAAAGAAAAACTATAATTTGTTTAAATTTTACTAAACAATTATTTTTATTAAGATTGTATTTCTTTCTTTCAATACTTAAATTAAAAATGACAACTAAACCAATAATTTTTATAATGAATTATGTTAAATGCAATGTTAATATTACTCACTATGAATATTTAACATTGTAAAACATTTTTGTTTCATTTCATTCAACTATTTATAAGATAAGATATAAATGACTAATGTAATTTTTTGATATCATATTATAGAAGGTGCTATTACTCACACATCCATTTCTAGAGGAATCTAAGATAAATCTAACTATTAGAATATGGAAGGTTAAAGTAAATAAAAAATATTATAAAGTACATTTCTTTTAATAAATTCACAAACATTGTTTATAGCAGGTGAAAATAACAAGTCTATTGTTTATTTTGTTGAGCTTAATAGACTTTTATTTTGGGTTGGGTCTAATTGATAAACGCAATTATAGATTGGACTGGCCACTTGTGTATTGTTTTTTTGTCACCTTAACAGTTTAATTAGTAAACCATATTTTAAATTAAGATCAGATAATTTTAAAATAAATTCTAATGCATTACTAGTTTAATTCAATCATGGTAATCTGTTTTCAGCTATGTATAGCATGCGATCGGCTTTATGAAAAATTAACCGAAAGCCTACGGAACTCAAGCGACCATGAACGTTTGGAAGCCGAAGATCAAAGGATCAAAAGAATTTAGCTTAGGTCAAATCTGGCTAACGTCAGGATCATATACTGACAACAATCTTAACAGTATCAATGGCAGGTTCATATCTAAATATTTTTATGTAATCCAACGTTTATGAATGCTGACTAATAACTATATTTTAAATTATTAGGAAATTTGCGCTTTCTAGACAAATCATCCCTTTGATATAGTTTTTGCTCATTACGGCTAAATAAGCAAGCTAACTACAGAACATCAAATAGTCAATTTATTTATAAAAAAAATAAGAGGAGTTAATTTACTTAACATTTTTACCAAAAAAACATCAAATGAGAACTCGTGATGTCGGCTTGAAGATGCTGTGAGATGTTAACAGGAGCTCCAATTTGATTCTCAATTTGGAAGGAAAGAAACAAAAGGCTCCATTCCTCAGCAGCTAAGTATGTGTCTTCTATCACTGAAGATATTAAGAACACTGTTCAGTATACCTAACTCCTCTTTCCAGATCGCAAGGTTACTCTTTTTTTGTTGGATTAAGCTTGAAAGAAAAGAAAGCTTGAGAAACAAGTTGATGACCTAATTCTACCGAGCTATGGAAATTAGGATTCATAATATGTTTAAGAGTTATCTAAATGTATTACCTATTAGGATTTGGAATAATTAATCTCTATATAAGAAGATGTAAACTTGTTGCATTACTTATGAGTTTGAGATTGAGAGTTTGTGAGAGTTTTAGTTTTTGAGTGAATTTTCTAAAACATAAATAAAGAAGAGTTAGTTCTTTACGTTGATATACTTTCAATCTTAGATTCAAGATTGTCGACTGAGCTATCCTTTTTGGAAACTTGGCTGGAGTTGTTTGCTTGATTTATTTATCCTCATTGATTTTGCAATTTTCGTTGTCGTCTTTGTTCTAATTCTCTGGTTTGCAAACTACTTCTATTTGTAAGCTTGACTATTTTAATGATAAGTTTTTTTTTAGAAAAAGATGTTTGCTTTATGGGTATTGATCAGTCTATGGCTGGCTCAAATGATTTTTAGACTCTATTCAAAAAATATAAAAGATATATTTAACGATTTATTGATTTTTTTTAAAAAGTTAATAGCTTATGTTTGATGTTTTTTTTTTTTGAAATTATAACTATAATATAGCAATATACCAATATTTTTTTAAAAAAAATCATAATTTATCTAAATATTTTTTTAAAAATTCTTAATTTTTCCTTAATTGTTTCTTATTTTTCTTTCTTATTTTGAATCATGTTCGACCACTCCACTTACACATATTATTAGATCAGTTTCTACTCTCAGCGTGTTTATAATATCGACCGTTCCACTTGGTTATGTTATAAAAATTGTTTATGTTATAAAAAGCATGTTTTGATGTTATTCACATTTAGTTTAATACACTATCGTATATCCTTTCTTTTCATGAAACTAAAGAGTCCAGATGGAGATGTTATTTGATTGCATCGAGAGATATGATCAGCCCGCGTTTGGGCATCCTCTTCTAAAACACCATAAAATTGAGGTATTTTCCTTTCTTCTCATTTTCAGTTTAGAATTCTGAGTTTATGTTCTATAAAATCTTGATGTTGACTATTATCAGAAATTAATATAAAAGATGGACTGTAATCTGACAAAAGATGTAGTCGAACTTCAAGATCAACCTCACTTACTAGTTTCATAGGATGAAGCATTTTAATGGTCAACAATATTTTAAGCTCAAATACTAATCCCTGGGTTGCATGTTCTTTATTTTGGTGTGGACTTTCTCATAGGGGTGGACATATCGGTTTTATTATGGGTTCTGTAAGGGTTTGGTTTGGTTTAGGTTATTTAGGTCTAATAAAACTTTAACCAAAGTAAATCCATATTAGTTTGGTTTAGTTTAAGTTCGGTTTGGTTCAGTTTAGTTCAGTTCGGTTTGGTTCGATTTTAGTTTGGTTTGGTTTGTGTTTTAATTCATTTTTAATTCGGTTTGATTTATGTTTGATTCTGTTTAGTATGATTTTGTTTGTATTTTTTTATTCAGTCGAGTTGATGTTTCGGTTTTGGTCTAGTTCAATTACTAAAATATAATTATAAAAATCTTAACAAGTCATCATTTATACTAATCATTTGACACTAAACATCACAATAAATATGTAAAAGATGTAATCCAATAATTTTGTATTATTATCTTCAAACTTAATATAAAATCATAAAAATATTCATTTTTGATGTTAATGTATAGATTCATAACTGTGTTTATTCTATTCAGTTAGAAGTAAAATGTATAAAATTATTAATTATTTAGATTAAATTATTAAATCTATTATTATTATTATATTTAATTAATCTAATTAAAAATACGTCGTTTTTTCGGTTTGGTACGGTTTAAAACTAAACCAAACCATTCGGATTGATAAAATTTTGAACCAAATGGTTTAGACATATACTTTGGTTCGGTTTGGATAGACAAAAAAAAACAATTTCAATCGTAGTTTTGATTAACTTGTCGGTATAGTTAAAACATACAAATATATACTTCAAGGTTGTCAAAGTATTAAGATTGTCAATCATTCCTCTAACTAGTAAATGCTAAATGCTGCATTGCATCACAATCATAATCTGGCCTGGTCCTGCGCTACTGGTTCTTATAAACTCAGGGCCGCTACTGATCATAATACTACACTGATGATAATACTACATGCATGTTTATTTAGAAAAAAAAGCCTATTGTTTTTGACTAAAAAGTTTGGTAGTCAGTATTTCACTAAAATATAAAAAAAAATTCTTACAACTAAAGAAAATTTAATGTTAAACTGACTAAAACTTTTTATATCAACTCAAATCGATGGACTAAGGTGAAGGGTCAGACATTTCGGGTTTGGTTCAGTTAGATGTAGAACAGTTTGGTTTTAGCTTGGTTTAAGTTATTCTGGTTTAGTTGACAATCAATTGGTCCTACGCTCTTACTACAGTCATCCTCCTAACTTTTTATTATATCTAAAACTGACCAAGTGAAAACGTTACAAAAATGTAGTTTAGTTGAACTTAAGAAGGTAGTAACTATGCTAAAATTTCTGGTTACCAAAAAAAAAGAAAGAATTAAAGCCTCAACGCAAAGGGCTCTGCTGAAGAGGCTCCTTATCCATATCACTGAAGTCGAAACGAAGAGTGTTGTTACATTTTCCATCCCACATCAGAGGCTTAGAAGAGACCATACAGCGCATTATTATGATTCGGAGTTATGAAGAAACTGATTTCAAGCGAATATATGTTTGTTTTAAAATATGTCAATGTTCTGAGGAGGTTGAGGTTGGTTGCTTACCAAGCATCAGGAGCTTGATACAATGAAGCTGTGTTGCCAAAGCAGGAAGTGAGCAATTCTGTGTTGATCACTCCTGGATTTAATGCAACCACTGCCATCCCTTCAGCTACCTCCTTTGCCACAGATCGGCTTAAACCCTCGATGGCCCATTTCGATGCACAGTAAGGTGCAACCTACAGATTTAGTTTTGGTTTCAAAAGTTAACCTCACTAGGATCAGGTTTTGATGATACGCCCAAATCATATAGGTGCAGAAATGCAGAGTAGAGAAGGAGAAAATCAGAACAAAACTATCTATAATGATACTTGAAAACTATGGCACAAAGGACCTGCCCAGTAATTTTCTTAGACCTTTCAGGTGAAGCTATAGTCTCTCCCTACCATCTATTTTATCAATTCAACGTGTTTCCTCATTTCCATGTATGATGACTTACGTACTCCAACATCACTGTCAAGGTTCCGGCTTCACTTAAGCTTATTAGAGAGGTATCCAAACATCATTTCTATATCCGAACAAAGTCTAGCTCAAGATTATTTTAGATAATTCAAAATTTTCCTATGTTCTGCTGTCTTTGTTACAACATTTCTGTAACTATAAGAACAAACATACGATAATAGCTCGTGATGATTGTAACTCACCAGGGCAGCACCAGATCGTCCCCATCCAGAAGACATGTTAACAATAATCCCTTGCTTCCGTGGGAGCATCAAAGGGATGAAATGGCGCAGTACATTTACTACTCCTTTAACGTTTGTATCCATAACACTGTCAAAATCTTCTGCGGAGACTTCCCAAATCTTGCTGTTCTTATTGATAGTACCGGCATTGTTAACTGAAACGTACATTTTACTAACATCAAAACTACAGAAAATCACAGTGAAAACGATGTCAAACAATACGCCCAATATTATAGAACGTGCAGGAGAAGACGATCATATAACCATCAAACCTAAATTTTCACAGACAATAGCCTTGGGAAAAGAAAAAAAGAATGACTTATTGAATGTCAACAAAGGATACAACGGCAGATGAGTTAAAGCAATGCTTTAGAATATTCAATAACTCAAGGGAAAACCCAAAAACCTTCAGACCACAAGGGTTATGTTATATCCACAGGAAAGTAATAAAAGAGCATTAGATGAACTCAAGAGCAGACGTCATCTGACTATAGTTTTCACGATATGATGACCATAATTTTCTCATTTTCTTTTTAGGCAAGTTGATTAACGTACCTAATAAAGAACTAACCTAAAGGATTACTATGAGAGGCTACCAAACACATTAGGAACAATCCTAATGATTTCTCTCTAAAAGGAATGATAGTTACCTTTTAAAAAAAAACACCATGACATTAACTTTGAAACAGTTGCCTTCAGGGAAAGGTTGACGACTGAAGACACAAAGAATCAAAAAGAAGGTTCAAAACATATATACCTATGATGTCTGGGACACCCTTCTTCTCCATAATTGTGTGTGCCATCTCTTTGACACTGCTATCTGATTTCTGCAAACACATATAAGACCATAGCATCATACATAAAAGGTTAATTTCAGTAGATCACATGAGTTTATCAAAATCAACCGTTGCGGGATAAAAATATCATCAAGGAAACAAGGCTTCACTTAATTCCAAAATTTTAATGGATAAACACATCTTTGTGGACACACACTCACATATCTCGCGGAAGTAAAGACAAAATTGCTAATAGAAACAACAAAATATCAACCAATCATGACCAACGTCGACTAAGTATCATAGGAAGTATATAAGGACGAGAGAATACGAAGGAGCGGCAATTAATTACCACATCGGCGGTGAGGAGGAGATGATTTTCCGGGAAGGAGAGCTCCGATTGAAGAGCGGTGAGCTTCTCCTGAGTGCGGGCGCATCCAATCACAGTGTGGCCTCTCTTCGCCAGCTCCAGAGATAAGGCTCTTCCCAGACCTTTGCTCACTCCCGTTATCATCACTATCTTCGCCGCCGTAACTGAATTCGCTGCCCCGCTGAAAGGCTTCGCTATCGTCATAGTCTATATGCCCGATCAA